CTCTTAGTTTTGATGAAGACAAATTGACAAGCAAGTGTTCATAGCAAAGGAATGGAAAAAGCATGATATATTTTAATAAGCCTCAAGTGAAAGCTATTTAATCAAGACTAAGCTAAGGTACAATATGCATTTAACTTGTATTTTCTCTAAGATTAATCAATTAACCATTCTAAAATAAACAAATAATAATCGATCAATATGTTTATTTCACATGATGATAATCATTTACCCTCATTCAAAAGGGGAAGGAATAATCGATTCACACTCCTTTTTTTCACATATTTTACGTTGTTTCTTTTTTTGAATTGTTACTGAAACATTGCATTTTTTCTACCACCTCTTTTCATCTACAATCTTTTATTAACTATAGAAATTGTTCATGATATTTTTTTCCAACAATTGCTTTTTGAAAATCAAGAGGTGTATGATCATTATAAATAGAATAATTTTCAAAATTCTAAAATTACCTCTTTTCTTGAAAAATTTCAGAAGTGTTCAAACTTAGATAAAACAAGAAACTTGTTTCTCTGCATAAATTTACATATCAATACAAAGTTTCCTTTGAGTATTTTAGATATTTTATAATCATTATTGTTACAGGAAAAGGGAAGAGCAATTGTTGGAATTTATTCCATCCTACTGCTTCAAACTTTTATCTTATTCAAATTACTATTTCTTTATCTAATTATCAAGGATTGTTTGACATTAGGTGTGTTTCCTTGTTATCCAGGATTTTTGGAAACAAGAGAGTGGAAAAGAAAGGATTGTTTTCTTTTTCTACTTGTTTGGTTTGTATTCCTTGTTGTCCAGGATTGTTGGAAGCAAGAGAGTTGAATTGGAGAAGATTATTCTCATTTCAACTTGGTTTATCATAAGAGGATTGTTCTTGGTGATTTTGTTAGATAGGAAGACTAGGAGATTCTTGGTCATAAGATCTAACAATAATAAAATCTATTACATGTGGTAAGGAGACTAGATATACTCTCGGATTATGAGGGAAACTAGGAAAAATTCACGTGTTCTTTACTTTTCTGCATTTACCTCTTTCATCACGAGTCATAACCAGAAAATAAAGAAACACATCTCTAAAAATCAGAAAAAATTTATTACACCAAATTCACCCCCTCCCCTCTTAGACGCACTCTTAAATTTACACATACCATTGGTGGAAAATTGTACTTTGTTTCATTTGTTGATGAGTATAGCCAAAATCTTAGGATCTATGTGATCAAGCAAAAGCAAGAAGTATTTGAAATCTTTAAGAGATTCGAGATGCTTGTCGAAAACTGGAGTGAAAAAAAGATCAAGATTCTGCGAACAGATGGATATGGATAATACACATCCGAAATGATTGAGGAGTCTTGTGCAGAACACAGTGTCAATCATGAGGTAACCGCTTTCATATACACCTCAACATAATGGAATTTAATAAATAATAAACACGAGCATATTGGATATGGCAAGATGCATGCTGAAGGAGAAAAATCTGCCAAAATCCTTATAGGGTGAAGTTGTCACCACTGTTGTTTATATTATGAACAGGTGCCCTACCAAGAAACTGAAGAACAAGGTTCCTGAAGAAGTATGGAGTAGCTAACAACCATCAGTGAGTCATATGAAGGTGTTTGAATTTATTCGTTACAAGTATATTTCTAATGGGAGAAGAATAAAGCTTCGTGACAAGAGTGAACCTATGATTCTGGTATGATATCATAAAACTGGAGCATACAGACCATTCAATCCAATAAATGTGAAGATCGGGATGAGTCAAGATATTGTGATTGATGAAAATTCTTCCTCGTATTGGAATTTTGGTGATGTGAGAAGATCGACTCATACTTAGTTGAACTGGGATTCGCCAAATCCAAGTATGAGTATGATGTCTATGTTCAGGTTGTGGCACAAGATATAATAATCATCTGTTTATATTTCGATGACTTGTTGGTAACTGGGAATAGCTTGGAGAATTTGTCAAAGTTCAAAAAGTTGATGATGAGGGAATTTGAAATGTCGGATATGGGAAACCTTGTCTTATTTCCTAGGCATGGAATTTCAAATGTCGAAGTAAGGTATGATTCTACATCAAAGGAAGTATGTCAAAGAGATACTCAAGAAATTCATAATGGATGATTTGAATCTTGCATCCTCGTCTGTCGAACCAAACTTGAAACTATAGAAACATAGAGAGAAGGACAAGGTCGATGCTACTTTGTTTAAACAAATTATGAGATCTTTGAGATATGTGTGCAACAGTCAACCTGATATAGGTTTCGCAGACAGATTAGTGAGCATATACATGAGTGAACAAAGGGTATCACACATGAAGGCTGCAAGGAGAATCCTGAGATACTTAAAAGGATCGATAAACTATGGATTTCTGTTTCGACAAGACTCTGAAAGCAAAGAAGTTGTGATTAATTGCTATTCAGATATTGATTGATGTGGAGATAAGGAAGATCAAAGAAGCACGACTGGTTATTTCTTTCAAGTCTTTGGTGCTCGAGAAAGAAACCAGTGGTGGAATTGTCATTGTGTGAGGCTGAAATATATAGCAGAATCATATGTTGCGCGTCAAGTAATTTGGATCATATCTGTGTTGAAAGAGATTGAGGTCAAAGTGAAGAAATCTCTAGTGTTGCAGATCGACAACAAGTCAACCATTAGTCTTGCAAAAAATTCAATTATGCATAGAAGGAGTAAGCACATCGAAGCTAGATTTCACTTCTTAAGAGAGAGAGAGGGTAAATCGAGGTGAACTTGAAGTAAGACATTCCTCAAGTGAAGCACGATTGACCGACATTTTCACCAAAAGATTGAAGATCGCTATATTCCTTAATTTGAGAAAGAAATTAGGAATAGTTCAGATCGGCTATGATTAGCGTATGTTCGACAACTTGGATTATAGGAGGTATGTTGAAATATTATCTAAGTTAAGTGATCTAAGCTCAAGTCTAAATTAATTAGGGTTTGTTAGTTACTTAGTGTACAAGTCACATATATATATATATATATATATATATATATATATATATATATATATATATATATATAGAGAGAGAGAGAGAGTTTGTAATTTAGTTTGTACAATTCAATAATATCAATTCTTATTTCTTATTCTCTCTTTCTCTCCTCACAAAAGGTGTCTCACGCACTAACATGATAGGTCATATGTCAGACCCAGACTTTATGAATTTATCGTAGGTCATACTCAAGCCTTCTAAAGTCAGATTTGGACTAGCCTATTTTCACCCCTACATGTCTTCGATTGTGAGTGACACGACCCTACTTTACTTGGTAGTGTGGTGGGTGACTCATTACTGAAGATTTAGCATATAGCGTGACAAATCCTCCCTAATGCTCCACGTGTATGCTACTTTATCTAATTTCATCTATGTCATCTTTGTGTATATATTTTCGATCGTGAGTCACACGACCATGTTTCACTAGATAGTGTGGTGGGGACTCACTACCGAGGACTTAGCACGGTGTGATGAATCCTTCCTAATACTTCACATGTGTACTACCTCCCCTAACTCTATATATTTCACGTGGTTGACTGCGAGTGGACTACTCTATATATCTCACGTGGTTGAATGCAAGTGGACTGAGGTTATTATGTGGGCTTGGGTCACAATATTTCTTAATAATTCAATAATCATGTATAGATTTTTTTTATTAAAAAAAAATAACATGACATTCTTGTTCTTATACTACTAGACAAAAAAAAAAGACAATGAAGTAACACCTTATCTAATATGTGACCCTATAATGATATTGCATTTATGCACCTATATTAAAGATTAATTTGTCTATAATATTTATGTATATTAGGATTTGTGTTTCTAACAATTAATCTTTTCATAACTGGAATTACAGACAAAATTGTTTATGAGATGATCTAAATTTAACATATTAAACTAACATTTATTGAATCAACAATGTGACATGTGCAATTAATGTTTCATTATAATCTCTAAGTAAAACAGTTAACAAATGGACCATTTTTAATACATTTTATAAGTTTTTACTATATATTTGTAGCTTCACAAAATTAAGACTATTTTAATGGATGTTTGCAATTTCCATTTCCATGACCAATTTGCCTATTTACACCTAATTCATATCACAAATTTAAATCAGATATGTTAAGGTGTCTGTAAAATGAAAATGAGCTGATTATTGCACAGAATTAACATCAATAGTCCTCTAGAATACATCTATGTTCCAGCTCACTATTCCACATACACACCTTTTGTGGTTTTCCTTTTCACGCCTGCATTAGAATATGAATTCAGAAACAGCCTCCACAGTCCACATTGTTCCATTTCCGTCGCACTGCTAAAAGATGACTTAGTTTATTAAAAACTAAACCATCAAGATCATACATAAATCTTGTCATTCAAACCAAAAACAAGTGGCGCATTTATTTTACTTTTTGTGATCAAAACTCTACTAAAAGAGTACTCTTCTTGTGCACATGTGTTTATAAACTTGTGTGTGTATCTCTCTCACTTTTACAAAAGAGAGAAAGCCAAGTTCGGGTAAATTAAGAATATCCAAATGTAAGATATGTACGCATAAAGGCATATTTTCCCAAGTTGACATAAGTAATTATAGCATACTTGCAATTTGCAAACTACTGAGAATATATTATGCAGATAGACACCAATTGTTTATGTAAGGACTAAACATTCTTCTTTCAGAGAATGGAGACAAAAACTAAAAGTGGATTTCATTAATTTCCAGGATTCGTCACAAAAAAATGAGTGTAGTTCTTGCCGGGAAAGCAATAAATACAACTGCCATAGATACACATGTGTATGTATTGTGAAGAGAAATTATCAAACCATTGCATCAATTTTTCCACATAGTATTAATAATATATACAAAAAGTACACTGTTTCTACCTGTCTAAGAGAAGTCGTCGCCCGTGCGTAATGAATAACAGTGGCTTTGCGTGTTAGAAGGATGGTCAGCCCTTAATTGAAGAACTCCTTAAATTACTTGGATTTTTTAGCCTTATATTCAGCAGCAACTTTAGCTGCAGATTTGGCCAAGGCGGTAGGTTTTAGAACACTTTTAGGATTGAAAGCCTGCCGAATCTTAAAAGCAGCCCATGCAGTCCCTACAGCATGACCAGCAGCATCTAGCCCTTCACTAGTTGCCTTGGCGGCTTCTTCTCCATATCTGTGGAATATATACATAATGTCAAATTGACACATAGGGCTTTGATACTCCAATGTAAAGTTACATATATATGATATGCCTTCATAGTAGTATCACGTTCAAATTCAGATATCTAATTTCATGCTTTGTCCCATTGGCCTTACCTGTGATGAACAACCTCGGTTGTCACGGTGTTTGATGTTGACATAACATTTTTTCCTGCTACTTCAACAGCATCACACAGTTTGCCTATACATATAAAAAATAATCAAAATGTAAAGTCGAAATTTAAAGTTTCTTATGACACTTTGAATAATTATGTAAAATCATCAATAAAGTAGTTAAATGAGCAGACTATATAGAAGCTACTACAGGATTGTGGCTTGTTGATCTTAAATAACAAATTGTCCTCCAAAACTACCTAAAGATGATACAAACCACCGCCAACACTTGTTGATCCAAGTGACAAGAAGCTTAATTCCTCTTAAGATCTCAGATTATATTTTGTGGATTGAAAAAATAGATGTTGAAAGAATTTTGTCCTTTAAATGGATCCATCCAAGATCGAATTAGTTAATACCCCAACATGGTTTTCAAATAAATGCGTCTGAAAACCACTAATCTTAACACAGAAAAACCGAAAAAGAGACTTAACTTATTTTCTTTACTTTTAGTAAATAAAAACATCTTTTTTTCCGAATTTTCTTTCCATTGTTAAGGTGGAAGGTTTTTTATTTCTTCATTTCCTAAGGATATAAAATTGGCAAGAGATTTTCAAGTTTCTAACAACATTTACCAATACATGCAAATCACAAGTCCCTAAATGAGATGGATTAAGATAACTGACATACTGAATCCATCCAATGATGCAAGCACAACTTCGCCGGGTAGAAGCTTGAAAAATTTCTGTCCTGCTTTTGAATTTGCCACTGAACTGGTAAAAAACCCTGATACCTTCACCACTCCAGTTAAGACCCCAGTGGCAACACTCTCTGTCATTTTAGTCACTCTTTTAGCCCTATATGAAATTTAAGCCAAAGGACACCAATATCAGTTGTATATATCCATTACAAATAACAGTAACTACCCAAGAATCACATAACATAACTTTTTGTCTAATAAACACGGAATAGAGGACACGGGCCAACTGAATATTTCAGTGTTCATAACTCTCAACCACAAACATTAGTTAAGTCAAAAAGAAAAACGACAAGCATTAACAAAAGAAAAATTATTTTTTCAAGGTGTTAAATGGCAGTGTAGAGCCTGTCGAATGCATCATGTAATGCAGCTGCAAAAGTTTTAAATCCAAATTTGCGACTGTGATCTAGGTTGCGATTTACGACATCAGGGTTTTGATGTCACGACGTTCGAAACTGAGACAGCATTAGTTGCAATTGACTAAAATTTTCTTCCACATCTAAGATCCACCATCCACGACTGCAATTTAAAACCTTACACCACATTTGCCAGAGCCATGTTGCAAGATTAAGCAAAACTATACAGAGCTTCCAACTCTCTCTAACTAAATTAATTTTATAAAAGTAAAATTAAGCTATGAAGCATGGAAACGGATACAGACTCCAGACACTGACACCTGATTCAGCGTCGTGTCGGTGTCTCGAACACGGACACACGGTGCTACAGAGAAATTAAGTTAATCAACCAAACACACGCTTAAACTAGAAGAAATAATAATCAGGAGTCAGGAGTACCTTTTGATTCGCCTTAACGTTTGGGGAGTAATCTCGACCTGTGAAGAAGGACCCATCCTCTTCTTCATGAACTCATTTCCCCATTTTAACCTATCAATGGTAACATCACCACACCACAAAATTCCCTTAACCAATTGTCCAGAACCGGCTGCAATAAGCCTCGCAGCAGTTCCATTGTAATCCTCCACATTAGGAGCCAATGTAGTCCAATAAGCAGCACATCTTTCCTCCATCAATTCCTTCTTCTCCTTTTCTGTTTCCATTTCCACCGGAGATATCTCCATGGCCAAAGAACCATCCAAAGCCTCCCCTTTCTTCTTCGCCTTCTCCGACACTTCCTGAACAGAAAAACTGCTGCATTCCTTCAAAACCTCATCAAGCTCCTTCACCAAATCCTCCTGTCCTTTCGACGCAATCGTCAAACCGTAGCTGAGCAAATCAAAACCGTCGTCTCCTTTCCCTTTCCGGCTTTTCTTTTTATTTTCATCGTCACTCGAATCGCTATCCGAATCCTCCTTTTCCTTCCGAACACGGAAAGAGAAAAAATAATGTGAGTCGTCTACCTTAACGGCAGCCTCGTCCTTGGCAAGCGGCCATTGGATATCGTCTGCAACACGAGCGTAAACAGCAACGGTATTATCACCCTGCCGGAGACGAATAATGGTGAGATCGCCGATTGCGAGCTCGACGCTGTATTGTTGATCAATGAGATGGAGAATGGCGCCGGGAATTTTGATGAGGATATCCTCGGCGGCGATTGGTGGAGCGGAGGGACTTCTGTTGTCCGGGAAGAGATCTTCGACGAGGTCGCCGACTTCGTCGATAGAAGGGTAGAGAGAGGAAGAGGTTGTATTAGGGTTAGATGTTTCGGAGTCGGAAACTATAACTTCTGGGTAAAGGGAGTTTTTGGGGTTAGGATTTTGAGAATCCATTGATGAATGTTCCTTTGAATTGTTAGTTACCAGATAGAGAAAATGAAAAGAAGAATGATTAAGGAAGAAACGGCATGTGGCGTTCAGGAGAAAAGGAGAAGAAATGACCGTGGGAAATTCAAACTGGATTTAACTACCAACGATATTTCCCGCGTTAATATCGGTATCAACCTTCAGTTTCTTGAGAGTATAATAAATTATTTAATATTTTATTATATGGAATTTAAAATTTTATTCATTTTAAAGTCAACTTTTTAATTCAGATATAAAATTTAATGTGGGTTGTGAAATTTATAATATTAAGGCAAAAGATTAAAATTCTGAAAAAAAAACATTCTAAAATTGGTCTTAGTGTGGATCCGTTTTGGTGAGTTTGAAGGCTGTAGATTTGAAAGGAGATGTTGAAGTGGAGGTGGTTAGAGTTATGGTTGTACCGTAAGTTAATGAAGCAAGTGCCAGGGAAGGTTGATGCTGGTTTTTACGGTTTTATAAGGTGAGTGAAGGAATGAAGTTTATGGGTGTGAGTTTGGTGGTGAAAAGCAAGACACTGGAAAAACACAAATGGAGGAAAACGTAGATCAAAGGATTCCAAACACATCAGAGTTAAATATGAGAGTTAAACCGTGTGGGAAGCATGCATGGTGTTAAATATGATTTTAATTTGTTAGTTGCATGGGTGATTTGATAATAAACTTGAATGAAATAATAAACATCAATTTTTATAAAGTAGTGTAGTGGTAAGTTGTTATTGCTTACATGTAAGATGGTTAGGTTTAAATTCATACTAAATCAAAAAATTTAGAATGTTTTTTCAGAATTTTAATATACCACCTCAAATTTCATATGTATAAACATAATTTCACTTTTTTTTTTTAGCTTAAAAATAGTCACGTGAGTTAATTTTACACATGCTATCAATTAGATTTCTTATATTTATCATGTCATTTAAGTTTTTTAAAAATAAAAATAAATTTTATTGTGATGCATATTTCTTATTGGTTGATAATGTAAAATATTTTACACTGTCAGTACATTTCTTTTTTTACGGTATAAATCTCAATCATTAAATGAAAAAGAGAGTACAAACATTGATAAAGATGTTGTGTTAGGACATTCTCCAACCACAATTTAACAGCAACACTAATAATTAAGTCAAACAAACTATGGACATCAAAAACCTTTGAGGAATTAGAAACCAATAGAGAGGTATCAATCTAAATTCTTAATCCAAGCAACCAAGCAAAACTCTTCCACAACATGCATCGATTTGTAGAGAAAAACTCCAACCTCCACAACCATTGATCGGTTCTAATTCATTTGATGTGGAGGCGTCAACTTCTAGGATTTATACATTTGCGGCTTCGTCTTCCTGGAGGAGGCAAGTGTCACCTCTTGATGCCCCAGAAGCCCCATCGGCCCAGATTGATGCACGTGTTTTTGTTGCAATTGTTCTTGAGGAGTGTGGAGGAGGCTCGTATGACTTATCACTGCTACCTCTATATTTGAACAATGCTATCAAGCATGTGTGGAACAAAGAGTTTAAATTCATCTGTATTTATTCTTTGAGAACTCATGTGTTATAATATTTGAATTTTCTAACAATTTATTATTTTGCGGTATCGTGATGCTTTGAAATGCACCAATCATGGTTGAAAGATTGCAAAGCTACAACAAATTCAAGAGAAGTGGTTTCATGATGTAATACAGCTATCTGGATTGCGAGACTTATGCAAGATCGATTATACTACTATTAATCATGACATGATGTCAGTATTCGTTGAGAGATGACACTCGGAGACGTCATTTTTTCATCTTTCATGTGGTGAGATGTCCATCACATTAGATGATGTGTCATGTCTGCTTCATCTTTCGATTAGAGTAATATTATTATGTCACTCCATGATTACCAAATATGATTCATTGGATATGATAGTTAACTATTTGAGAGTTGATTCGAAGAATGCCCTGAAGGAGTTAGAAGACACACAAGAGTGTCATGTTAGATTTGGATTCCTAAAGAGGTTGTATGCACACCAGTTAACTCAAGCAAAGCAGGCTGATGGTGATGATGAACATATTATGAAGCATAGAGCATATGAAGCAACAATGTATATTACATGGATGTGATTTACCTCAGATACTTCCCTGACGGAGAAAATTCATGATTACAACTGGAAAGGCGCTTGTTTAGTCTACCAGTACTCTAATTTAGTTAAAAGTTGTATCTAGAAGACCAAACAAATGACACCTAGTTGCACATTGTTAACAATAATATATTTGCTTTCCTTAATAATTTTGTACCATTTTTGTAACACTTGTCATACGTCATTAATCACTAATAATTCATATGTACCATTTTCAGACATGGATCCTCCAATATTTTCCACACATTATTGGTCGGTCATATGTTGAGGACTACACTGAGGATATGCCATGTACTTGTGCATTTGTCCGCTTATAAAAAATCTGTCGACCGAGCCTTTTAGAATGTGTTTAAACTGCACAGTACACGATATGCTTTCAATCATATGACGATAATCGTAACATGTGTCCCTTAGAAGATAGCCTTTTATTCTAGATGGTTTACTTGTGGGTCATGTATGGTGTATCCACATATGCGTGAACGAGTCATATGCCAATTCGCGTATATGCAGGTTGCTCCTTCTGGTATGACCCGTAGAGATGTAGATGTCATGTATTATGATTTTCTTAATCATCTGGTACTGAATGAAGCACGAGGTATCATAGCTTCTAGTGAAAGAAGTTGTACATACGTCAACGTCCACTGTAATCAAAGTGTCACATCCTTATATGACTTCACATGTAGAGGAAGATCCACCTATGACAGTTCGTCAGGAGATATTATAAGAGAAGTAGACTATGGAAAATCATGTTGATGTGTTGCCAGCATGTCATCGTATTGTTGATCTAGCGCAAGCAGGTATAAACAGAAGATTTTTTCTAAAAAACTCTCCTAGAAAGATCATTGTAGATGTCATTCTTACTGAGACACAGATAACATTACAGTACATGAGACAACGAAGGAACAAGAGGTCTGACATACACAGTATTATTTTAATTTTTTTAACTGAGTTTTAAATTCAGGATTGATTCATTCATTTATCACATTTTCATCTTATTTGATAAGTGTATAGTTTAATTTATAAAAAAAAAAATTATTATGATAGTATAGTTATAATATATTGTCTATTATATTGGTGTATTTAAAAAAAGATGTCAAAATTTACTATCTAAGATAAATATAGAAGTATATACTCATATTATATTATCTAAGATAAATATAGAAGTGTATACTCATATTATGTTAGAGAGATGCATCTCAAGATCAATTTATAATAAGATGAGTCTCTTAGTTAAAAATGGACAAGGTGCATATAAAGTGAATACGAAAGTGCATCTCTAAACTAATTACCAACAAAATGAAAGGTGACTCATTTACACATGTATTTGGTGCGAAATGGGCTCATTCATATATACAATTTCAAATTGTTGGGACATTTATATATTTCCACATGCTGCTTTTCCACCACTTAGGGTGGAAAAAGTAATCCCCAAAATATTTGAAGCATAATGCAAGATAAGATCAGTCGTGCACCCTAGCCAACACCATGTTTTGGCCTTGATGTTGTGTTGTATTGTTTATGATTGTACCTTTGGTGTGTCTATCAATTTCTATGCACAATCAAAGTAGATACTGTGCTTTGTATAACGGTATTAATATATGTTCGTTGTTTTCAAAAACTTTTGTTGTCTAAATTGATGATGGAAAAGTTTTGTATTACAATGTGTTACTTGATGATTTAAAAATAATTTTATATCAAATTTAAAATTAAAAAAAAAAAAAAATCCCACAAATATTGCAGTTGAGAATGTTCCAAGTTTTTTAAATTAACTGTAATAACATTGACTAACATTTTAATTGAATATTCTTCACCATAAAAGAATGTATATTGTATGTCCTTGCTTAATGCCCTCATGACAACGAGCTTTAATAACCTTATCAAGATACATACATCTGTTCCAATAAGCTAGGGAGACTCAACTGCAGTGCCAGTGAAGTAATACCCCGACTAGAATCACCTTACCCAGTAGCAATATGACTGTCAAAGGAACAGAAATTAAAAAAAAAACGCAAGATGACAGATTACTTCTTCTCCTCCTCATTTGGTCCCTCGTCATTCTTCTTCTGAGACTGGTTGATAATACAAACATAAATTATCAGTACTAATGTACAATATGTACCAAAATCTAAATTACCAGAAAATAGTAGCCCAGAATGTAAAGTACTGGGCAAAAATGTGATTGAATTGGAGATCAAAATTAATCCAGGCGAAGTCAACTTCAGTCGTGGCAACATTAAGATTTTCTATGAAATTCTTTTCAAACCCAATACTATTACTAGTATTTTCCAATAAAAGAAGACTTACCTCAGACTGATTTTGCATAGAAGCCAGCAAATCTTTGACAGAGGGATCATTTGGGTCAACCCCAGGAAGCTGCGGAAACAAAGACTTATTACTTAGTGTGGTACATAATATAACATATCATAACTCATTCCAGTAATCAGTGATGGCAGAAAGGGGGATATCTGCCATATAAACACATAATTGCAGCCTATGACGGAGTCATGGTGGTTTTCACAAAAAAACACCACGCCATTCTGAGATGGCCGCCATTTAACAACACAGCCACTAATGCATTCAAAGAACAAACTAAGAGTTTACTAGATTTATCAGACATACCGATGCAAGGATAGAAGATACAAAGGACTGGTCCGCCAACAATCTACCCACTGTGTCATTGGGGGGGTCTGATACTGACAATTGGAAAGCTACAGGCAACAACAGACAACAAATCAGTGAAAATAACTACCTCTTTCCTGAAAAAACTACAGAAATACAAACTGATTCTGTCATCAGGAGGAGAGAATGTAAAATTATTCATGATTTAACAAATCCAAACCCTCAAAAAAGTATGAGTTGGCTGAGCATGATAAATTCATATAAAACATACCCTACTCAATGAAACGATGCCATCCAGATGAAACAAATAAAACTGGAAAAATTGTATCCCTCTTGATTGAACCAAAACTCAATACAACTTTTTCATTATTTCAGACTGAGATCAACCTGATAGACTTCTTATTATGGGTAGTTATTTTTATTGACGTCAGTTATGTATGGAAGTTATGGGTTATGTGTGTTTCTGCTTTAGAATAAATAGAGCAAGGAAAAGAGAAACAAAGTATGGTATAGTTATTGAATGGTTTTGGGAGGGAAAGACCAAGCTCTCTAATTCTTGAGGGAGAGACCAAGACTAAAATTTCTTAGATTAGTTTATGAGTATTACGCAATCTCTAGTGTTTGTAATTATGTGTTTGTTGTAAACATATTCTACCATAAATAAAAGTCAGTTTCTACCATTAATTTGTATTTTGGTACCGGTTTCTATCTCAATCATCATGCAACATAATAAGCAAACACATCTCACATACTACAAGACTAAAATGACTAGAAAATATTCAGCCATTTTTAGATGATTAATGATTAAAAAACATTTAAAAAAACTCACCTCGAGCCAACTCAGGGTCCTCTGTAGCAGCTTCAGACATATCTGCATCTCTTACATCATGGCTAACTGCAGGATCATCCATCGACATTGCAAGGGCCTGTTGTAGTAGAGCATTCTCATCGTCCTGTTTTCACATGAAAGCCGGTTCATACAGAACAAGTGTCCAGACAGTTCACAAAAAGAGTACAACAGCATGATACGGTGTGTGGAAATAATATAACTGAATATTAAAACAAGATAACTGATTCAAAAGCAAAGCAGGTAGAATAAAAAAAAAAAACATGCAACATGAGTTTGTGCCTTATTTCAGCCCATGGAGAAGACATTATTCACTGCCTGCAATGTTGAGTAGCAATCAGAAAAGTAACATATTGCTAGAATAAAGATTAGTAAGTTCCCATGTTACCCATAGCAGTTACATTGTGACAATCAACCTCCACAAATAAGTATTTTATCTTAAGCCATGAGAAGAATTACTGAGAATAATTAATGCCCAAGTCATGATGGTGGTGAGTGTAAGAATGAGTCTACCGTATACTTAGAAAATTGTTCTTAGACCCCATATAGAGAGCATCGGACAAACAAACAAGCAACAAAAATGGCTTAAATGAATAATTACACTAACCATCATGTCAGTTGTCTTAGTCTCAACTTCAGAAGCTGCAGTACTGGTTTGCTCAGTCATAGTTGCATCCTGGGAAGTAGCTTGCTGTTCGCCACCTTTCTCCTGTTTGGAAGCATCCTCTGCAGCCTTTTTCGCAGCTGCTTCCTGCCTAGCTCTCTCCTCTTCCATTGAAACTCTTAGAGCAAGAGCCAATTCAGGGTCCAAGTTTGGATCAACACCAAAATCATATCCAGATGCACCACCTGCAGAAGCTGCTGCTGCAGCAGCTGCAAAACCACTTCCACCTTCTCCATCACCAGTAAAAATAGGTGTACTGCCACAACACAAGTTAAATAACTATTTTAGAAGCTTCTCATAGATAAAAAGATGATTTTATTAGATTATATAGCAGGAAATATATTTTAGAAGGAGAAAGAAAAAGGTCTTTTCTAGAAGAAAAAAACTATGGAAGTGAGAAAACAAGGACAGGAGAGGGGAAAAAAACTAACACGAGCAGGCTCCCAATGTATTTGCAAGTTAGAGAGACACACACGGTTTGAATTATGCCATTAGTGCAACCGGATTGATCAAATGAAAGATTTGACATTAAAAGGAATTTTGGAAATCCTAATGTGTTTCTCAAGGAAGCATTCATGGTTATTAAGGGATCGTGTTAAGAATTGAGAAAAGAGTTTTTTTCAAAAGCACAGAAGTCCAAGCCTCTCGTATAGGAGTAAAGAGAAGAAGGTGGAGCTGAGTAGAAACAGCAAAGATATTAAATAAATAACTTCTCAAATACTCAAATTTTTACCGAACTGGAATTCCCCATTTAAATGGGGATGCTGAGTACAAAGAAAGAGAAAAATATCAGACAAAACTGAACTCTCAAACCTTATAAGTACATCTGAAAGAGCATTTGGACCGGGTGGAACATGAACCATGTGGCTACTATCATTATTGTTTACTGCTGCAAGGAGTGCTTCAAGCTTCTCCGTCTTCCCCTCGTCATCTTCCCCAAAGTTGACAATGTCAAGTGCTACACTATTCTTTTTCAACTTTCTCCCAATCATCTCCAACATTTTCTTCTCGTGCTTGACAGGACTAAAAAAGCATTAAGTTAGATAATGGGAGGAGAATCAGCAACAAATAAAATAAATAACTTCAAACAAAAAGAAGACAAAGTTGTTCATACCTTCCAGAAAAGACGATAATTCTTTGCTGCTGCTTCTTATTCTGTCGATGCTTAAGAGCCAACTGTGCCACCTGAATTCCAGCAGCTAGGTTCATCCCACCGCCTATTTCTAGACCTAACGAAGAAAAATGAATAAATTATTCCATCAAAAGACGAATCCAATACAACATAAACTCGTCGCACTTGCTCACTATTTACAAAAATGAGTTACATGAAAGTTTAATCTTACTAATAGCCCTCATAGGCCATACATATAGATACATATATATCTAGAATGATAACAACCCAAAAGAAAAAGAAACTATCGCCTTGTTTGGATAAACAACTTAATTAATCAATTATAGCATAAGTGCTCATGTATGTATAAGCCATTCTTATAGCAAAATTATCAATTAAAATCGTTTTCATATAAGATATAACTCGTGTTTGTAAGCTATCCTAAAGAGCTGATGAAATAAGCTTAAAACATGTCATGAGTTGTTTTCCTAAGATATCTCAAACAGCCTAGCAAAATGTTTGTCAATAAACAAGATCAAGTAAGTCGATCCAAACAGGCCTGAGTAACCGATCAAACAAACTTCCACAGCCTAAGAATTCAACTCAAATAGAACTTAGAGTCGACCGTGTACTAATGAATAATAAAGCATAAACATTTATATAGCAGAGAACAATTATCACATGGAGTAACAAAGATTCAAAGGGAGGAAAAAGCATACCATGCATACAAGCTAAGATTTTGCCCAAATCACTGGTAGGAGTAGCCAAAACCCGAACGCCTTTCCCCGCCATAGTGAGAACTCCAACAGTATTTTCAGGATTAGACTGAAATTCATTAAACAAGAAAACAATTGAACACGCAACTACCTAAACCTAAAAACCAACTCTGAAATACAACAATTACATAGAATCGGAATCACCTATAACACAAGTGTATTAACTAAGCAACAATTAGACTCACCTGAGTTTTAGCACCGCAAATGAGACTTACAGCGTCGGATTGGGCTTGAAATCGAGAAGGAGAGTAATCGCCGTTACGCATCCATTCAGAGTTGTCAATACAGATCATCGTTGCCTGTTAAAACCAGAGAATAACAATAAGAATACTTCAATAAAAAAGTGAAACCTAATTTATCGAATGAGAAAGAGGAAATTGGGGAATTTTAGTGGCACGGTGAATCGTTGAGAATTAGAGGAAGGGGAAGCGGAGCAGTTACCTCGAGCACCATTGTTGGAGATTTGATGAAGTTCAGAAGCAAGATTTGGAAGAAGGGTACAAAACTTTTTGTCGAAGAGAAAGAGAGAGGTGAGAGAAGAGAACTCGGGTGCTTGCGAAGGAGGTTTTCTTCACTTGGCTTTTTTTTATTGGAACACCGAACACTATAATGGTTAAATTTTTCTTTTCTTTTCTTTTTTAACGGTTAAATGAATTCTATCCCTCTAATGGTAGGAGTTTTAATTTATAACTTTTAAAAAAAAAATCTTTTCGCCTCTTAACAAACATAGATTCTAAAAGAAAAAATATTTTAGCCCAAGATTGCATTTGAGATGCAGATGTGACTTGTGAGTGTTTGTTGATTGGGTAATTGTATATCACCTTGGACTGATTATATTTAAGGTCATTACTTATAACATATTTTCTATCTTGATTCAACCCTTTGAAAATTTAAGATTCACTTTCAGACAAATTTAGCAAGTTGATAATGGGGAAGAAACATGCAGCAAAGAAGAAGAAGCACCTGAAATAATCGAAGTATTCAAGGCAACCGAAGAAGCACGACGAAGAAGGAGCTTATGTTGATGCTGAAAAGGTAAATTTTTTCAGCGTCTTGTTCATTTACTTGGACTTGGTTAAATGTTAGTTTTTTAATGTTTTCCTAAATAATTTTAGAATAATCAGTTGTTCAATGATGTACTCCACCATGGAGGTGAATTTGTAATGTTGAATAATGGGGTTACGATTTACAGAAGGGTGTATGTACTTTAATTTCGGATCTCCACGTGGATCATTTGACAATGCTTAGCATCCATAGGTTGGTTACCGGTTGGGGTTACAAGCAAGGAACATATAGAACATGGACTTTAATTCGTAAAGATGATAATTATTTTCATATTAGGAAGGATGGTGACTGTTACGATTTCGCTGCATACGCTTGTGCGACCCAGCTAGACGGGGAAATGTCCGTGGAGCATGATGTTACTAATATTGGAGCCTCAGTAAGTAGTCCAAGGTGTGTTAATGATAATGTTGAGATGGAAGGATGTGATGATAATGTAGTAGAAGGGTTGGGTGATAATGAAGATGAATGGGCCACTGCTATTCTAGATGGGTTTTATGATACGGTGGCAGAACCGACTATTTAATACTGGTTTGCGTTTTTTGTTCGTAAAATGTCGCGGTAAGCAAGAGTCGCCACCGACTTTTATTTCATCCAATCATGGAAAAGGAAAAAGAACAGAAAAAACTTTTTTTTTAGATATTCTGAGTACGGGGGGTAGATTATAGAAATTGAAGGTGTTAGCACCCTTTCTATCCGTAGTTATCTACGGGCTCTTAGGTACTTGCTCATTTTTCAAATTGCTTATGTGTGTTTGTCTTGAAAATGTTTTACTTCGTGATAACCCTTGTATCAGTCCTCAAGGATGTGACGAAGTTTGTTTTGAAAATTTGTTTTGAAAGGTGTTTGTGTGAAAAGTTTTTATTGAGCAAGTACTTAAGATTCTACCTACTCAGGAAAAAAAAGATTGTTCGTTCTATTTCCTTTAGACAGCGTTATCCTACTATTAAGGAGTAGGTAGCACCGTCGTTGGAGTTGTAAGGTACATTCAAAAGGGACAAGTACAATCACTAAAGCAATAGTTAACAAACTTTTAGTAGTAACCCTAGAGTCTTAAGATATTTCTGAGGGAACATCTCCGAGGCAACATTTCCGAGGCAACATTCGAATGGGACAATTTGATCTTTTTAGACTGGAGGGCAACCACTAAAATCTCCTATGCTTAATGATTGTTTACCGAAGGCAACCGAAGTGAGGTAAACCCTAGGAGTGAATATGTGCATATGATTTGTTTCAGTTATTTAATCTTTGCACATTAGGTGATCTACCGTTTTAATTTCAAGTAATCTTGCCATACAATCCTATTAGCATACATCTAAACAGTTAAATGTTCGCAGGAATTTTAAAAGTGCGAGAAAGTAAACCTAGCTATTACAAGGCCTCGGAGATGGGGATTAATTACATAACCAAAGAATCGGGGATTAAAGCAGTAAATAAAACTCTAATTTAACTATTACAAACCATCGGCAGTTACAAAAATAATGGCAAAGAAATAATTAAATGTGCGGCAAATTAAATACGAGGAGAAATTAAAAACCCTAAAATCTAATTGAAAACATAATTAAGTTATTTTTGAGAAAAGAATTGATTGAGTTATGTACGAATAAAGCCCTAATTCTAATTATTTTAATTATGAAAAAGAAATTGAAATTAACCTAATCTAGCTAAATTAAATAATTTCAAGAAAATAAAATATTTTGTACAAAAAGATTTTGTGTATTTTTTTGGTTTTCTTATTTGAGAAAAGAAATGTAATTGCACATTAATTAAAAACTCTAATTTCTAATTGCTTTTAATTATATAAAAAATTAACTTAACCTATATTTCTAATTAAAATAAATATTTTATTAAAAAATTCTTCTTTTTTTTGTGTTTTGTGATTTATTGATTTTATGATTAATAAAAAAGGGTAATTAATTTGGTGAAAAATAATTAAACAAAATAATTAAAATAAAATAAATAAATAAAGAAAAGAAAGAGAGTGGGCCTGTATGCTAGCAAAAAGGGGGTGCCAATCTGAATTCCCAAGCCCAAAAATACTCCAAGCCCAATCAACCTTTGGTGCCTTGTAGCGTTGACTTGGGGGCGCACCATAGTCCCTCATTGCTGGAACGTTGGATCTGATGGCATGTTGGATCAAGTGGCTGGATGTTGATTGAGTATGGTAGATCCTTTGATAAGAAGTGCATGCAATCTGCGTTCAGAAAATAGGAAAATAAGCGTTGCTGGGACCTGGGATCGAACCCAGGTCCTCTACCCTTTCCACTATGCTTGCTTGCCATTTGTGCTACACGCTTTTGTTGTAAGTATAAAGAAAATAAAATATGTTATACAATAAACAAATGGATTAATGCATAAACAAAAAAAAACGCGCCAGCTTTCAAATGATCCAATGACGATTGGACACATTGTCTTCTTCTTCCTCATTTGTCGTTTTAGGTTATGGTACTTTTACCTACATACAAAGGTCTGTAGCTACAAACCTGTGAAACTCAAAAATCCACAACACGCAAGATAAATGGCATCTAGTTATATAAATCAACTCGTTTTGATCTTGTGAACATCATGGTACCCCTTTTGCTGGCCAATTTAACCTGTGGACAAAACCCCTAATCTGCACATACAAACCCTAACAATGGCAAAGGCATGTATAGGCTTCAAAAATGCAATTAAAGTATTCAGTTAGCTTACAAACATGATGAGGATCACAAATATATAATTTAAACATGCTAATGATGCAAGAAATACGATAATCATTTCTGAATTTTGTTGCAAACTGTGAGAGTGATTATGCGCGTTTCTAGGTGTTTCAAGTCTTGCAAACGATCCAGTTATGTTCCTAAGATGTCCAATAATCTATTGGCAATGCCAGAATAGCTTGAATTGGCCTGCAAGCTTGAAATCAAATCACACCTTTTTGTCATTTTTTTTGAGTTTGTTCTTGCTCTTTCACGACTCCTAACCCCTATTTTTTGCTTTGTTCTTGTTCATTATATATCCCTCAATGAATTAGGGTTACAAAACAGATTGAATCTTTAAGTTTTGATGAGATTTGATTTGATTTTTTAGCCATATGCAAACTTGATATTTTGAGCCAAATCTTCCCTTTCTTGTACCAATTATGCTTGATTCGTTTTAGCCTTGATAATTCAACATATTTTAATTGCCAGCCTGTCCAAAAACCAAATCAAATCATATCTTTGCTATTATTCATCAATTATTTGATTTAATTCAATTTTTAATTAATACAAAATCAAAATAAATTGAAAAATGAAGAAAATAATGTGTGGGTGAATATTTGAGTCGTGGACCATATTATAAGTGAGGTGCAAGCATAAAAAGTTAGGCCCATTTAGTAAAAAATGCATTTTTGAGCACATTTGACTTTTGGCAATTTTGCAAAAAGGGTCAACTTTGACAAGGCATATCTCCTCCAATTTTAACCCTAGAGAGGTGTTCTAGGACTTTTTAGAAATCTTAGGATGTCCCCTAAGAAACCCTTTTGGTCTCATCTCAATTGAGTCTTCCATGTTCATGTAAGAAGCTTTGACCCAAAAGGTGTTTTTGTTGACTTTTCAAAAGAACCAATAATGTAGAAATTCATATCTTTTTTTGGGTGCATATTTTGAACTTGTGAGATGAATATTAATTGTAGGTAATTTCATCCTCTTAAAAATGAGCTTTGTATGGAAAATTTCTGATAAAGCATGTGGAAGTTATGCTTGGTCAAAGTTGGGTTGACTTTTACTAAGAAACCCTAATTTAGCAACTTTTGGATTTTGATGAATTTGGAGCATTCCTTGAGGAATCATGATCAACCCTTGATCAAATGATGGATACAACTTCAAAATGTTGATGTTGACCAAAAATATTGAAGTTTGACTGTATGTGGGCCACAATTGACTTTTGACCTAATATAGTCGATTCTCAAGCATCTGAGCAGTTGACTGAGCAAACTTCTTGTGCAAGGCATGAAACTTGACATGTAGGGTCTTGAGAACATATTAAGACCATGGAGAGCATATGAGGCCTTTGTGGTTCACCCATCTTGATGAAAATGGAAACCCTAATTTGAGGTACACTACCTTAGGAGAGAGTTTGTATGGTCAACTCTTGGGCAACCTTGAGCAAATTGAGGACCTCAATGGACATGTATTGAGTAAAATGAGAGGGAAAATTTTAGGGTACAACATCTGCCCCTGTTCAATCTTCTTAAACCTGAGGATGTAGATTGGTTGTTCTGCCTTTCGTGAAGTGGCATCTGATTTGTGATATCGGGAATGGGCTTACGGATGCCATTTGGAAGCTGCTAGCGAATTCTCGGAGATGGGCTTAAAGATGCCATCTGAGATGTGGCGGAATACCGTCGGAGATGGGCTTAGAGATGCCAT